TCAGAGTCTCCAGTACAGGCTCCCAGGAGATGTGCAGGAGATGGCAGGGTGGCTGTTAATGGGAAGATAACTGACCTCCCTCTGGTTGGCCTGAAGGAGCCCCTGATGTGGATATGGAGATGGTTTTTGTTTGCATTTTTTAATTTGCTATAGGGCATGCATTCTTGCCAGAGAGAGAGGGAGAGAGAGAACGAACCTTCCAGGATGATAACCGCATCACTGTCCCATCACCATTCTCATTTTTGGATTTGGGACATGCATACACATATGCCTGCATGTATTTCAAGCTGCTCAGTCCCGGACTGGAATCCCAGTCGGCCATGTTGGATCCAGCACCTTATCCACAGCACCACCAGCTGGCCTGACACCGAGGCTTATTGACCGGCTCTTTGGCAAGACCAGTTGGGTGTGGGCAGGGCTTTGCTCTGAGCTAGTCCCCAGCTTTCAGCCTGGGTTCTCCTCACCACTGCTGGCCTGGGTGTCGTCTGTCCTGGAAGACTTGGGGTCACCCCTGGACTGGACTGTGGCTGAGACTCTATATGGCTCATCTTTCCATTTTACCCTAGGTCAGGTTCCTGTGGAGGGAGGAAGAGAAGCAGAGGGGGCTGGTTCCCAGGTCTCATAGACCCTCATGGACACCATGTCAGAAGCCAGATTACACACGCAGCAGAGGAGCAGCCACGGTGGTCAGGAGGTACAGCGGCCCTCCCACTCCTAGGTCACCCTCTGGCCTCCCCCTTTCCCTTCCTGTGTCTGTCCCTCTACCAAGGACTCTGAGTGCCCTCACCTCTCCCTGTGACTCTCTTCAGAACAGCCTGTGGTCCTCAGGCTTTGGAACGAAGTTGGAGGCTGTCACCCCATTTCTGGGGAAATATCGCCCCTTTGTGGGTCGCTGCTGCCAGACCTGTACCCCCAAGAGCTGGGTGAGTGACAGTGGGGCCAGGCCTCACCCTGAGAAGCTTAATTCTGTCAGATGAGGGCCTGGCAAACTGCTCCTTTAAAAAAAAAAAGATTTATTTATAATTATTATTGTTAATATTATTTTTCACATGAGTTTTGCCAGAGAAAGAGAGAGAGAGAAAGCAAGCCGCCAGGTCCGAGACACACACCATGGCTGGTCATGTGGGAATTCCAGCTCCTTAACCACCGTGCCACTTGTTGACCCTTTTTAATCATCTGATCTCGGCCCTCTGAGGCAAATGCCTCGGCTTTTGTCCTTCTGGGAATGGGTGCACTGGTATTGGCTGTTGCTGAGCTGTGGCTGGCTCCCAGGCCTGGAGGTGTTGGGTGGGTAAGTGCAGAGGGGCCTAATGGGGTAGGTGTGCCCAGAGAGCTGCGGTCAAACCATCCCTGCCCGAGTCCTGTTCTTCTGCTTGGGGACACTCTCCCTCGGTCTTACCTAGTGCTCACCAGATGCTCAAAGACCTCGTATTTTGTCTGTGCTGTGTGCTGGTAGTAAGGGGTCCCCGACTGGTGATGGAGAGCCAGCCAGGCTGCATGTTCTCTGCTGAGGAGAGAACTTTAGAAACTGTATGCCACTCTGAAAGGGGCGCTTCTGAATGGGATGCTGTGCCTTCATTTCGAGTGTGGATCCATTTTCCTGAACCGGCATTAGGATTTCTGTCAGTTATCTCTTTGGAAATGCTGTGCTAAATCCTTTTTTCTGGAAACCCAGTAGGCTACTGGCTTCAAAGGGGCAGGGTGGGGGCTTTTTGTGTGTGTATGTGTCAATTTGTCATGGCCCCCCAGGATGTCCTGTCCCTGTGCCCTTTTGGCAGGAGTCCCTCTTTCACAAAAGCATAATGGATCTAGGCTTCTGCGATGTGATTCTTGTGAAGGAGGAGAATACCAGGTATTTGGGGTTAAGGGATGGGGCTGGGGGTTGTACAGGTTCCCTTGGGTATAGGGCAGTTGGGGCCTTGCTTCCGGGTGCCATTTTCTTCCTCCAATGGAAAAAGAAGGGCTCTGACCTCTGCTCCCTGCCCACAGGCAAGGAGAGGCAGGTTTGGAGAATCCCTGCAGTCCCCTTGAGCAGGTGTGGATGGCCCACTCTGTGAACCTGTCCTCTCTTCAGTGGGGAGAGAGGTGTGAATGGGCTGCAGAATGGCTAGATGCAGGGCTGGGGTGTGAAGGGACCGCTGAATGAATTTCCCCCTGCCCTGGGTCTGTGCCCAGGTTTCGGGGCTGGCTGGTTCGAAGGCTCTGCTATTTCCTGTGGTCCCTGGAGCAGCACATACCTTCCTGCCAGGATACTTCACAGAAGATTATGGAAAGCGCTGAGTGAGGACTGGGCTGGGTTGGGGTCTGACTGACACTTCTAGGGTCTCTCAAGGGGCGACAAGGGCTCCAGGTTGAGAGGGCTGGTTGTGGCAAAATTCTACAGGGTCAACTTTCCCTGAGGCCCATTCTTAGGGAAGAAGGATAAAGACTGAGGCCCTGACCTGAAAGGCCTAAGGTCTCTGACTGTATTTCTACCACTGCAGGGTACAGGACGTCCTCTCAGGGAGGGCCCCTGGTGGAGCTGGGGAAGGCCGTGTGCCCGACCTTATGAAGAAAGAGGTATATCGCATTCTGGGCCACATCCAGGCCCCACCCCGGCCCTTCCTGCTCAGGTAACTCTACACTGAGGGGCACTTTTCTCTAGGCCAGAGCTCTGCCCCTCTGGAAGAGTGGGTTTTGGTTGGGCAGGACTCGCCTCCTGGGGAGCTGGACGGTGTTTACCCTGCCTCCACTTCCCACCGTCACCAGCATCTCTCAGCTCCTGCTAGTTGCAGGACTTTGTTCGGGGCTAGCAAAGGTACACACCGTGTAAGAAAGAGGGGACAAGGGCTGAGACTAGAATACCTAGAGGAGGGAGAAGCTTGTAAGTCAGAGCCAAAAGGATAGAAAGGAGCCAAGTGGGAGTATGAGAATGGGGGTGGTAACAGTCTTGGTAGAGGGAATAGCATGAGCTTGGCCCTGGGCAGGAAGCACAGGACCCGGTGTGTTGGAAGCTGGCAAGGGACGGGAGAGCTTCTGGTATGAATGTGAGAGGCAGAAGGGACCAGAACAAGCAGGGCCATATGAGAAGTTTAGAACGGCTTTTCAAGTGTGTGAAAACAGTGAGGAGGTTTTAAGTGACTGCATGATAAATTCGGGTCAGGAGTAGAGAGCAGGAGACCTTCTGGAAGGCTGTTTTGTTGGCTTCAGAGTTACCCAGGGTCAGCTGATGCCCCCATCTGATTCTTTGTGGAGAAACAGAAGCCATGGATGGGAACTTGCTGGTTATGTATCACATCTCCCTAATACCTGCAACTGAACTTCTGTCCTCAGTTAAAGATGGCCCTCTAGGGGCCAGCAGGTGGCACAGTGGTTAAAGTGCAGGACTCTCATGTGGTCAACCACAGTACGAATCCTCGACCTGGTGGCTTAAAAATCATGCTGGGGGTGTACTTGTGCATGTGTGCCCAAAGTCCTCAGGGGAGATGGAGTATAAAGGATTGTGGTGTGGGTATCTCACCTAGTGGGTGAGTTCTCACTTTCCCTTTCCATCTCTCTCTCTCTGGTGAGCGTATGTGTTCAATGACAAAGTCCTTTAAAAAAAAGTTCCTCGGTTCTGTCTTGGGCTCACTACCCCTCCGGGGACTTTGTCCATGAAGTTCCCTTTGCATTACTCTTGCATTCCACCTTTCCTGGCAGTTCACAAAGGCCAGGCTGGATTCTGCCTGGAGAGTCTTGGCCCTCCGGTCTCTTCTGGGGAAGGTGGAGGCAGATGGCCTGAATCTGACGTGAGGCAGCAGTACCGTGAGGTCCTGGGAGGGATCAGTGCCTTGTGAATGTCGGCTGTGGTTTTAGGCCCTCCTTCTGGTCCTAGCACCACCCCTTACCGTTCTCCACTAGCCAGTTGTGTGACTTCTGAGCCTCACTATCATCTTCTG